TCCGTCCAGTAGACCGCACCATTTCTTTCATTAAGTTTGTGGTTTCTTTCAAAAATATATGATTTTCCAACGCATTCAATTGTTGCACGCTGTATATGTCAATTATTAATTGATTTTTATCGATAAACTCTGCTTTTCCTCGTATTTTTTTGCGTTGCACTTTTTTAAAAAAGTTAAAAAGAAAATAGCGACTTCTTAAGATTGTTATATCATATTTTGACTTTTTGTATTGTTATCAATAGTCATTTACTAGAACTTGCCTTTCTTGTGTTACTATTAATAATATTGATGTTATTATTGTTATCATTACCATTGTTATTGTTATTATCATTATTATTATTACTGCTCTACTATACTACTACTAACTATTATCATTGTTGTTGTTATTATTATAATAATATTATTATCACTATCATTATCATTATTATTAATATTATTGTTAATAATAATATTATTAATAAAATTATTACTATTAATATTATCATTATTATCATTATTATTACTATTATTACTGCTCTACTACTAATTTATTGTTATTATTACCATCGTTATTATCGTTGTTATTTGTTGTATTCTTGGCTGACTTTTAACAAATATTTAATTTTTAAATGAAAAAAAAAATAATTTCCCTCTGTACTACATAGTCTGTTAGTGATATCAAAACAGTCTGGTACTGATCTTGCTCGTTACTTGTCACATTATTTCACTGACTTTCTCTCACAATTTTTACCGCATTCATCGTTAAACGTGCGCAGGCGATGCATGTCTCACGTGTTTCTTTGTTTTTTTTTTTTTTCAGAATATGCGTACGTGAGGTTTTTCGGCCAGGTTATATAAAACCTGAGAGAAATAATGAGTGGTACTACTTTGACGAATGGCACAACGAGTGTGCCGTATACGTTCGATCCACGAAATTTGGAAATTAAAACGAAATCAGTGGAGCAGACACTCGTCCCTCTGGTCACTCAGGTTAATAATCATTTCCTGTTTTATCAGTCTTTTTTGGGCCATCTATGTAATAGGCATAGGTGGATCCAAGGCGACGAATGGGGCTTCTATTGGCTACGAGCGGGGGAGAGGGAAAGGGGGAAGGAGAGGGAGGAAAAGTGGGGCTTTTGAAGGGTAGGTGAGGAG